TGCTGAACCAACTTGCCATCTTTGGACTTTGCGCTTTGTATGTCTTTTCAATATTTAGATCCTGTTTGTGTTGTCTTGTTTTAAAATCCATTCTGCCAATAACTAGAAATTCTGATGAGACATTTAGTAAGTAACAGAAGCACTCTGCAATTTTCACAGAGTGAATACTTTTCATGTTAAAGGCCAAAAACCTTTTGTAATATATTAAATTATGAAAACAGCCCCATGGATGGTTCAGTTAAATACAATTTTATTTCAGATAAGGAAGATCCAATTAAGAAGTCTGAGGTGGTTGTGCAGTTTCCTTGCAGCGACAGATTTAAGCCCTCCTATGTTCACAGGTAAATTTCAAGGCAATTCTGAATACGGTACAGAAAAAAAATACAAAAAGCCAGTTTTATGTGCAACAAAAAAACAGTGGGGATCAGAATTGGGAATTAAAGCAGTCTTAATGTCAAGCCTATATTTAAGACCTGCGATCATATTTGAATTGAGCCATTTTTAGCAAAGAGACCACTGTCATTTATACAAATGAACCCAAAGGTACAATCACCCTGAGATGTGACCAGATGTACTTCACACAGTTTGACTCTGGTTTGCACCATGCTTTACAGAAACGTTTGGTCTGCCTTTCATGCTAAGCAAACCTGTTAAGCACGTAATACCCAACAGGTAAAATTAACAGTTTGCAAACCTATATATTCCAGTCAATTTGAGTGTGAATTTTCAATGCTGCAGTCTCTATTCAACATAAACTACCATTTTGTGCATATATGCACTCTTGTCAGAAATCAATACAGTGAAACTTAACAAGCTCCCACTATATTTCTGAACAGCTTTGGAATGACTGCAAATTACATAGTATTTGTGGAAACACCAGTGAAAATTAACCTGATCAAGTTCCTCTCTTCCTGGAGCCTTTGGGGAGCCAACTACATGGACTGCTTTGAGTCCAATGAAACCATGGGGGTACGTGATATATTACACCGAGAGGTAACCTGCTATGTGACTGGGCTTCTAAATGTGAGGCCACGTCACAGTAAATACGTCTTCATTATTTCCCAGGTGCCAAAAGCAAAATGCTTCCTTGTTTCCAGGTCTGGATTCATGTAGCAGATAAAATTAAAGGAAAGTACCTCAATATCAGATACAGGACCTCAGCCTTTAACCTCTTTCATCACATTAACACATATGAGGACAATGGATTTCTTATTGTGGATCTCTGCACCTGGAAGGGGTACGTAAGGGTTCAAACGAGTGCCCATCATGTCTTTTAAAATCTAGGGAGCACACCCATCCCGAAAATTCACAGGTGGGCACCTGTCGTATCCATAGCACTGATCTGTCAGCTTGACACCTCTAAGACTTAATGTAAGAGCAAATATACTGCAGAGAGTAATCATGCACTGAAAAGGAAATGGGATGGTCAATCTAATGGATCCTTGTCGTGCCTACTTGTTTGGGCCTGACCCTTCCTGTGACTGAATTTAGGTAAAATCTGTCATTGACTTCCCCAGGAGCAGGGCTGGGGAGATAGTTTTGTCATGAAAGATTGTCAGTCCATTCTGACTGTGAGGGAGAGACTGGCTTGTCTGCACAGTCAGGTGACAGGAGAACCAGGCTCTAGGATTTTGACCTATATACATTTAATTATAATAATCCATTTTAAAGCTGCAAGCTGAAGTGACACCTCATAAAATATAGTCATGCTATGATCTCATTAATGGAAATATGCTGTCAGGCTCTGATTTTTGTTCTGACTAAAAGAGATTATTAACTTTTGAAGGCAAAGTAGCATTTTCCTAAAAATGACAGAATCTCATGCTCTGCGACTATTTCAGTGCAACATGTGAAAATCTATTTTCTCTGCTAACCTCCTGAAGGCTTCTGAACTTCTTTGATAGACCCGAGTGCTCCACAGCCACCTGAAGTGCTAGTTTGTCTGAATAAAGAGATGTGATACCAGTCCCTGCACCACCCAGGAATCGGTGATAAATGAGGCTGTGATTTCCCAGCCAGATCCACATGAGCAGACAGACAGGAGCCCCATCTTCAATGAAGCCATGTGAACAGACACAGGCAACTGCTATACTGGGGATCTGTTTTCAGGGATGAAGGCAGTCCCTGAATTTCAATGATCTTGTTTTAAAATATTTCCTTTTTGTAACTTTTAATGCATACTGCTCGTAAGTAATGGTATGGTGGAGTCCAATAGAATCCATTTTACCAAAGCTTTCATGTCACCACGCAGCTTTAGTAAACCTCTGTCATTGTTGAAGTGTCTCTGCTACTCCAGCACCTGCACTTGTGGTCACACAACTGGATTCATCTTGATTGGCACTGGTCACATAAATATGGAAATAAATCTGCCAGGCCTTTGGATTTTGCAGTAGTGACTCCCAAGAGCCACACCAGGCCTCAGTGCTCAGTTTTTGCAGGTCTGCAACGAACACTTGCATACTGAACTCTTTCTCAAATAGCCCATGTTTGCCCTGGCTCATGTTTGCAATTCTGTCTCTGTGCAGGTTTGAGTTTGTTTACAATTATCTGTATTTAGCCAATTTACGTGGGAACTGGGAAGAAGTGAAGAAAAAGGCTGAAAAAGCTCCTCAGCCTGAAGCTCGAAGATATGTCCTTCCTTTAAGCTTTGACAAGGTAACAGTTTGATCAGGCACATTTGGAAGCTTAGCTCAGTTCAATCCTTTGGAATGCTACAGCCCGCACGGCTCCGGCAAACCTGTGGCCAGATTGTTGTTTTCAGTGCAACTGAATTCAAATCTCTTTTGAGAGAAATCTTTAAATCCACATACTCAGTGCGCCCACTATGCATGGGTTTCGGGCAGTGCCCAACATCACAATTCTTCACATTTCTTTACAAGATAGAGAAGAGCAAAGTATCAGCAACTTTTCCCAGATGCTACGTTCCATTCCCAGAGGTGTATGTGGCTTGGAGCTGGGTGAATAATTTTGCCAGTTCTTTTGCTAGAGTGTTTGCAGAGAGTGAATATTAAAGGGGAGCAGAGGCAGCCAAGGGGACTGTGCATGGGATCACGTGAACAGCCTCAATAGTTTTGTGGCCTCTCAATTAACCCAGTAAGCAGCTTGCCCCTGGGCCAAGTCTGCCCTGCTGTTCCCCCTGGCCCTATGTATTTAGAGCTGATGCAAACCTAGTTTCCGTGGCAAACAAAGAGCACCAAGGCTCTTTGTGTCTCTAATCCTCCTCCTCAGCTCCATCTATTTCCTGAGTAATTTCTGCCATATAAGGCAGGGTCTTATGTTTCAAACTTACTGGTCCTACATGGTTTTTAAACTTTTCACTGCTGTTGATTCTGACTCTGCTGAAAGCAAATAGAGGTAATGTAACTAGCCAGGTAAATTGTCTTCAGAGTAGTGAAACTCCCTGGTACCCTCTACACATACAGCATATGTATTAAAACAAGCGCTGACCTGTATTGGCACCTTTATTAATAACCTCATGATGGTTTAATGGGAGATTCTCAAGAGGTACACAGAAGAGTTAGACACGCACATGCCACTGACTTTTGCAGAGTTAGACAGCTGTCTCACTAAATCTTTCTTTCCCCTAAAAACATGAGACTTAATTTTTCACTTCAGTAGCTAGTGCTAATATATATTCAGTCTCAGACTCCTTAGTTTTCACTCTTAAGGAAAACTAGGTTTGAGTTAGGATCAGCTATAGTAAAGCAAAGGCTCCTAATTCACACTAACCACTAGGAAAGTCACTGTCCATCTGAGTGTTGAAAGTAGGCCAGTATGGCCCCCCAAAAAAGTCAAAGTTACTATAGTGCAGATTGCACTTTGCTTATTTATTTTGGCAGCTGCAGTTTAGTTTGAATTATGTTTGAAACTTCACAGGATGCTGGGGAACATCTAACAACATATTTTGTAAAAGTCATGAAGCCTTATTGTTCTGAGCCTTTATTACAGCACCTTGCTATTCAGGGTTAATTAAGAAATGAGGAGAGTCATTTTTGTGGGTGAGTTGGAAAGTTTGTATCCAGCTGCCTATCATGAGATACATGGCTAGGGGGAAAGAAAATCAACCTTCCATGGCACCTAGTGCAACAAAAAGAAAATGCAGGACTTGGAGTTGTTCCTTTATTTCTCAATGGCTCTTTCTGTCCTAGGTTGACACGGGTAAGAATTTAGTCACCTTGCCCTACACGCCGGCCACAGCAACTCTGCACAGTGATGAAACCATCTGGTTGGAACCAGAAATTCTTTTCGCGGGGCCTCGCCAAGGTAAGATTTAATCCTGAACCTCAGCCAGAGGCAACAAAGCTGTTTCAGAAATATGAAACCTACCAATTCCAGCAAACATGTGTTTTGTTTTATAGCCTTCGAGTTTCCACAAATCAATTACCAGAAATATAGTGGGAAACCCTATACATATGCATATGGCCTTGGACTGAACCACTTTGTTCCAGACAGGGTAACTATTAAATATTTGAATGGGGACATGTGAACTTAACCAATCTTTAACTTAATGATAAATAAAGGAGTCTTACTAAAATGATGTTTCTCTTCATGTTACAGCTTTGTAAGCTGAACATTAAAACCAGAGAAACATGGGTATGGCAGGAACCAGATTCATACCCATCAGAACCTATCTTTGTTTCGCAGCCAGGTGCCCTGGAAGAGGATGATGGTAAGTGTCCTCATATTATGTTTCGTTGTCCTTTAGTAAGTTCTTTTAAAAGTTTGCGTCCTTTGACATGGGTTGAGCTATCCTGAGCTATCTAGTCCTTTTGCTGGATGGATAGATTTTAGATTGCCACCTAAAAGAGAAGTGGTACGCAGCTTGCTGGAATTGTGCCCCAAGTAAGGGACCAACTACCCTACTACTACTGGCTGCAAGGGTGAGAAATCATAAGAGCTAGGGGAACTCTCTTTCAACCCAAGATGCAAAATGAGAATTCTGCAAAATATAATCAGAAAAGCATACCTGCAACGTAAATTTACTTTCTCTTTCCACTTTTTAATGGGCCAAATTTGATATGGACTCCATTTGAGGGACAGTCATCACAGAACCTGCAACACCATTTTTTTTATGGCTGGTTTTCAGACAGGTATACTGTAAATTTCTAATGCAGCAGAAGTTGCCATACTATGATGAACCTGCTTGGGAAATTATTTTGATGTACTACAATCTCAGAATACTTTGAGAAGGAAAGGGTTTTTCTCTTCACATTTTAAGGAGTCGATTTTTTTGGGGGTGGGGAGGGAGGGATCATAAGAAAGTATGGCTGGAAGGGACCTCACAAGTTCATCTAGTCCAGTCCTCCACACACAGCAGGATCATCCCTGACTGAGCCACCCCAGCCAAGTGTATAGGATCATAGGACAGCAGCTCTGAAGGGTTTTGCTGATCCACACAATTGTTCTAGGCTAGGCATATGCAGTTAGTGATTTACACAAAGTCCATAGTATTCAGCATGGATATAATCTATTTACTTCTGACTGTTAGGAGTGATTCTGAGTGTGGTCATTAGCCCCTGCGTGGGACCCAAGCCCGCCTACCTACTGGTACTGAATGCAAAGGATATGAGTGAAATGGCCAGGGCTGAAGTGGAGATGAACATTTCTGTTACCTTCCATGGGATGTTCAAAACAGCATGACAGCTATCGCAAATGCCTTTATCATAATTTACATTTTTATCTTCAAAAAGGTAGTTTCTACTTACAAACCTCAAATACTATTTTCCTTTGATGCCTGGCTTTGATTTGTAAAATTTGCTTATTAAGAAATCACTTTTCTGCATATTTACTTATGATATTTGCACAGACTTTTCCAGCTTTACACTTGGCGACATTTTAAAAAGCACAGCAGCAATCATTTGAAAATTTAAAACAACAAAGAAGGGCTTTTATAGAATTAAACTTTGCGGCAGGGAACAGAAGGAAAGATACCTGAAAGAGCACCATTAGAACTCAATATATATTGCAGATACAATAAACATCCATGAAATAAGCTGAAAATTGTAGCTTCTAATGCATGCTTTAAGAGGAGGCAATTTCAGATTGTTTAGAAATTTTCTAATTTAAATAATTTCTCTTTCACTGTGTTAACATCCTAAACTCAAATGTTTTTCAGTGAGTCACAGTAAACACCAATTTGAACACCATCCTTCCTGGCTGTTCTGGGGACTTGATTCAATCAATGAGAGAGCAGGTCTAAGACTAATATTTTCTCACTTAATAACAACCCTACTGCTGAGAAGTCTAGAGGTAGAGCCTACAACATATAGGTAATGTCCCTTCCCACTCCCCAGTTAATAATGTCCTGTCTACAGTACTGCATCACCCACTAGTATGGAAAAAGAATGGCTCCTATCCTCTTTCCTCCTAATTTTGGAAGCTCTCTCACATTCAGGGTAAGAAGTGGTTTGGGTAATGGACTAAGATCAAAATCCAAATTGTCCAGAATTACAGGGACCCTCTATACCAGGGGTTGTCAACCAGGGGTATATGTACCTGTAGGGGTACTTGGAAAGATCACAGAGGGTACGCGCGGCTATTACCCGGGGGAGGGCACCGTCAGCCCCACGCAGCACATTGCTGCACCTCCCCACCCCCCACGCCAGCGGCCTGCCGCTGCCACCAGAAGGTGCACACTAGTTAAAAAAGGTTGAAAAGCCCTGTTCTAGACCAGTGGTGCCTTGAACTTTTGGCCCTATGGGCCAAATGGGTGGTATGGGGCTGATCCATGGGCTGGACTGAACCCCTATGCTCCAGGATCAGGCCTGCACATCTGGATCCTGACTGCACCATTTCTGTTGGGCTCCACACAAGAGGATCAGGGCCCCGGGGCCTCTCACTGCCTCAGCCTGGCTCCTACACCAGATCTAGTGTGCAGGGCCATGCCCCGCCTGGCTTCCCATGGACCCAGTGACAAGGTGCAAAGGGCCAGATCTAGCATGTTGGCTGCTCCACAAACTATTAAGCTTCCAAATTTGAGTGAATATAATGTTGAATGCAGTTGGGTGAGTTCAGTGTTTGTAAATGTATGCATATTTCCAGTACAGGTTCTGAAAAATAAAGCACCTCATAACTGAGATGTCTGTTAACAAACAGCTTTGGGTAAGATGGGGGAATTTTTGATGCTGCTATCACTGGGTTATGTCAGGGCTGACAAAACAGTTACTATCCTCTTGTAAATACTTAGTATAAATTAATTCTTTTAATGTTAAAAGTGAATGGAAACTGAATTATCATCCCAGACCTGAGATGTATATAAAACTAAGCTGTCTCTTGCAAGGTTTATTACACACAAACATAAGTTACTGCAGTTTGCAAGACTCGCATCCAATTGCTACTTCCTTAACATCTGCAAAAGATGTAAAGAGGAGTCTGAAAGGAAGACCCAAGGACGAATGTGCTGCATTCACTTATCTAACTTTATCCCTGCTAAACAGCTGGTCCAATAAGAGATCACCCTAAGAAATCCTTGCCCCTCACATAATTTTTGGAGCATCACACCTGCAGCATCACTTAGATTAAAAATAACCTCTGGCCCTATTGTTAGCTACTCCACCAAAGTGGTGAAGATTCAACGTTGATACAGATGAACGTTGACAAACAGCTTTCAGTCAACAGTCTGAGCTGAAAAAAGGTTCATTAACAATGATTTTTAGTTCATATCATAAAATACTTTTGCATCCATAGATCTCAAAGCACTTCACAAAGCAGTACAACAGTATCATAATTACACAGATGAGGAAACCAAGGCACAGAAAGGCAAACTGACTTGCCCACCAGGAGATGAGTGTAGAATTGAGGCTTCTGCCTCATAGTTGGGTGCCCTATGCACTGATCCATACAGTCTCACTTAACTAACTGAAAACCTTGAACTAGTTAGATGTTACTACCTCGACAGGACAGAGAGAATGGGGATTCGAATGCAGGCCTTGATTCAAAGTTTCTTACGCTTACCAGAACACCCACCACACGTGCGGGTCACAATCAGGTCTGTACCCATAGAGATTATTTGCAGTTGTTAAACAATCCCACATAATTAGCTTATAACCCCTGAGCCTGTATTTTCATGATTGAACCCTGACAGAAATTTGACAGAACAGCGACTTCAAAACAAATATCTTGGGGGAACAGAGGTAAAGCCTTTATTTGTAGAATCAACTTGTCTGTTTTCTTTTCCAGTTGTCATTGCTTTTATGGTTAGAACACACTAACTTCTCAGCCTCTGCATTTCATACAGGAGTGTGAACTACATTAATACCCGATACTTTTATTGCACAAAGATGAATTTGCTTCATTGGAAATGGAAATTGTGCCATAGATCCATCACTCTGTGAATTGCATTTCCCTTTTTTTTTAAGAAAGTATAATCTTCAAGTAATTGGCTAGTGAATTATAGATTAAAATACAAGCCTACTCTACATGGACATAAAATCCAAGAATCCTCTCTCAATGGCAACACTTTGTAGAACTTACATTTACATTAACAGTATTCTAGTGCCAGAAAATCATTTCCATTAACAAATGTCACCATGTACTAGGATTCCTTAAAGTCCAATTATCTGCAAGTGGAGGCTTCTGATTACATTCTGATGACAGGATATTGTTGCAGAGGTGCCGTCTGGTACTTCTGCTGTTTCACTATATTTAAGCACTGTGAAAGCACCTGCACAAAAAAGAAAAAAAGCAGGACAAGCAAAGAATCATTCAGAAACACCAGCAAACATTCATTATTTTTAAAGACCTGGTAACACTTTTATATCTATCTTTTTGTGGAATAATCAACATTAAAATGAGAAATTTCCCAACATTAAGATGCCCCAACAGGAGAAATGAACATGATAGCATAATGTTGCTAGGGACATGAGAAAGAACTAGAGGGAGAAGCGTCCTCAAGATACTGTGTGGAGCAAACAGGTACTATCCTAATATAGGAGATCATGAGGAAGCAAAGGGAATTTGAAATTGCTATAATGGCAAAAGTATATACTTTTTGAAAACTAAGCTAATCACCACAACATACATGTCACTGAAGTGCTGGACTGCTCAGCCAATCCAAAATGCCATTAGTGCTCTACACTGCTGCTATTTCTAATCATATACAAAAGAATGACCTGGCTCCTGCTCCTTTTCCCTTAAATTTAACCTTTTTAGACACTGCATTTCCCATGGCAATATAACTGACTGCAGGGACAGCGATCCAGTTCTTGTCTTGAGAAATAAGATAATTTAATTTCTTCAAATATAATGTACAGAAACGATAATTTCTAGATTAGGAACTGGTTGATTTATTTTTCTTTCATTCTAAATATACCGTGAACACAGATGAAGATTGGTGTAGATTTGATTATAACAAGTCGATAGCCTTCTGTATATTGTTTCCTGTTATGAAAATTAAGAGGTTTGTTTTTTGTCCTGTTTTACTAGTGAATACGCTACCATTATGAGAGGACAATAAAACCTGCTAGATAGGCTTAGATGTGAGTGGGGATCTCTTACACAGCTCAGCATCAATACCTGCAACTGCTCCATTTCTCACTACTGAGAAGCAGAAGGGCAGAAACATAGCTTGGAACTGAAAAAGATTTAAACAGCAGCATCCCTGTGGAACTGGTCAGGAAGATGAGTAACAATGGCTCACTCTCATCACTGTACATTTCCTTTTCCAATTTAATTTTTAGTGAGATACAAGGCTCTGCAAACTCCAGCATTTGAAAACATTTCTCATTATTCCCCTGTGCACTGTTTTGCCAAAAAATCCAGAAAAAGTATGAACAGTCATTCCTACAGCACCGTAAATGTATACAGTCCTTTACAAACAAATGGCAGTCATCCCTAATGCTACATATTTATCATTCAAAAATAAGAAGTACTTGAGGTGCTTAATGTATTCATTGTTAGTAATACTTTAAGACAAAAATATCAAGAGTTCAGGTAAGCCACTGATGAGGCACAAAGGGAAGAAAGGGTTAGAAAGCACAGATGCTTTGAGAAGCCATTCCAAGAGTAAAGGGGCAATTAAAAAGCAGGACAGCAAGACTGCCAGAGCAACATGAAGCAGAGAGAGTGGGGTAAATATAGGGACTGAGGAGTAGAGATTTAAAAAAAAAAAAAACCAAAAAAACAAAAAAACAACTGGAGATGGGGGCAAGGGCAAGAGTCAAAGTTCAAGCAGGAAGCTTGCACTTGATGTTCCAAGAGAAAGAAATTCAAATAAGGAATTCTAGGAAGGGAGTTTCACAATCAGAGCAACCGGAGTGGAAGAGGACAGCAAGAGAAACATCTTAGATGGCCTGGCTAAGGAAAGAAGAGACAGTGGCTGTATTTCAGTCTCCTAGCTAAAGAAGTGGCCTGGTATTTGGGAGACCTGGGCAAGGTGAATCCTTACCCATGCCTCAGTTTTTTCCCTGTCTGCTAAATGAATTCACTTCCTAATCTCTTTGGAATCTTGCAATGAAATGTGCTTGTGCAAATGTAATATAAAGAAAGAGCCTACCTTCCTAGAGTGTTGGGGCAGAATTATACCATCATCCCAAAGGCGGGCAGAGGAGTAAAATGCACTGCTTTCTTCTGCTAACCTAAACAAGAAAATGTTTTGTAAGATTAAAAGCATGAAATGCAACTGAAAATCTAGATCAATGTAACAAAGGTACAAATAAATATGGCACAGCTTTTAGTCTGGGTGTACATATGGTGCTACCATTGAATTTATTTGGTGTCCAGGGAACATATAAGAGCAGAACCAGCCCCTAAAGTGTTCTGTATTTCAGTCTACCTACACTGTGGAATTACTGCAGGATCTCTCAAATATTAATTTTTTCCATAATATTTGCCTCGGGGTGCAAGGAATGCATTGGAACCGTTTGCTAGGTCATCTGGTTATGTTGCTGAGTGTAACAAGAGTCAAGGTCTGTTACTGAGAGCAGGGCTAGTCAGTAGAGTTAGAAAGCTGCAAAGCCCCCAGATAATAAACAGCTGGGAGCTAATTAGGTAATGGCCTGCT